TGAAGAAGTCAGTATGCTTGGTTTTATCCATTTGAGTGCCAGCAGTACCAAAGATCTGAAGCTACCTGCCTTTTTAAACAAAGGTGTTTGAGATACACTTTCAGAACAGCTCAGCAAACAAGCTCCATGCATCTCAACAATGTGTTCCTTTTAACTTCACTTCTGAGCATTTTTTTGTGGCGCACAACCACCAGTTTGATCTGATTACTTGAGCCCATCTGCAGCAGAGCCTTGATGTCTGCAAAATGCCATTCTGTGCTGAGTGAGCTCATGTGGATTTTGGATGAAGGAAATAGTTGTAAAGTTACAATGTATCTTACAAGCCGAGTGGGAAGATGTGTAATTTCCTTTTCCATTTTTACTTTTTTGTTTATGAAAGACTTAGCCCCTATTTAAATATTTAATGTTATCCAGTATTGTACTGTATTTAGACTGCGATCCTCCAACCAAAAGCAAATAATAGAATTCCATTTAATCGAACCAGCCTGAAAGCTGTTTGAACTGCTAAGGGTTCATGTACTGTTTAGAGAGGGGGAGAAATACAGAGCATAGTGCAATACACTGCAAGTGATACATAACAGTGAAGGCACAGTCTCTGCAGGGGGGATCAAAAAGAAAGGGTAAAAATGACACAAAAATTGAACAATAAATATTAGAACATGCTCTGCTTGGCCAGTGATACATTTAACTCTTGCCTTTCTAAGGGATATTTTGTACAACTTAAATATCTAGAAAGTATCACAAAGATGTTTGTGAAGGGTTTTTCTGTTCTCTGATAGAAGGCAGAAGTTGAGGTTACCTTTTGTAGCAGTGGAAGACTGCAATTGAAGACAGACCTGCTCAGTAACCAAAATCTTTTTTGTATGTGTGCTCTGTATTCTTTCTAGCTAAGGAAATGTCATTGCTCTTCAGTATCATTTTAGCAGCTGGATTATTTCCAGAGGGGTTAGGCTCAGTCAGTCAGCATTTTAGAGTCCCTGTGAAACTGTGCTCCCAGCCACCAAATGCACATCTATGTCTCCAAACCACCGTCATTCAGCCCAGTACTTGGCTGGTGTTAGATTGTTCATTACCTTCATTGTTTGTGCAACTTTTCCATTATAACCGCTGTCAGTGTTGAAGTCAGATGGCAATGATGACATTCTTGTCACAACTTTCCTCTCCTCCCCCCCATACTTAGAAGAAAATATCCCATAGTAGCACTTAATTCAGTTTCAGAGTTGCCTTATTTGTCCTATTGGTTTGATGACTCACGCTCCTTATCCAGCTACTGTGACACAGCCAAGCAAATGGCACAGGGTGAGCAACCAGTGTGCCAGAGACGCTGCCGTAAAGCATGTTGAGAACATGTTGAAATAATGGCAGTAAACCAGAGATCTGCAGATCTGCTGCGAACTACAATTGCTTCAGATTTGTAAATGGTTGTGCTTTTGTGATACTTTTTTTTTTTTTTTTTAATGTCAAACTCTAAAACATAATTCAATCACAGAAAAGCAGTGTTCTGGAGCAGGCTGCACAGTGGCTTTGAGGGCACTTATTCAAGTGTCAAAAGACAGGAAATATCTGTTCTTGTGTGTCACACTCACAGAATTTCCTACTTGAAGTGACATACTTCTAAAAGTATGAGAAAGACTTGGCTGGTGAACACACCTAAGGGCTGACAGAACATTTATGAACAGATCCTTTTAGTGCAGGTCTTTTAAGAGTACATTGTTCCTTTTTCCATCCTGCTTATTTCAGGTGATACATGAATACACAGCACCACATGTCCACACACTATTTTCTTGATTAACTGAGTTCTCTTTAGGTGCAGAAGATAGCAGTCTATCATTTCAAAAGTTGTGATGTTGATCCAAAACCACAGAAGAGCTGGTAGTAACTTTTTTTCATGTTAGAGTGTGGTGGGTAGGAAGGAGTCTTGAGTTGGGTGTGATGGTGGAACTGCCTTGATAACGGGAACAAAACTGGAATTATGGTGAAAAACACCCTACAGCAAATGGCATCCAGGGTACAAATACTCATTGTCAATTAGATGAAATAGAAACCGATGTCACAAAATAACCTGCTGACACTCAATTTCCTGGTACAAAGGGCCAAGACCTTTCTGATCATTTTCAGACCATCTTGCCTATACCCTCTGCAGGCCCTTTAGCTCATGTTCCCCACCCTCTTACCAAGTGAATCAATCTGTTCAGCCTTCACAAATTTCCCTGCTGTGCATCTTTTTGATTTTATCCTATTGAATTCCCTTTTACCTTCATGGATATTGCTGCTCTCACGTGCAGAAATGGTTAGCATCAATATGTTTTTATTTGCTGCATCACAATGAGTATTTCTGTAAGATGAGTGTAATATCAGGATCAGCTTTTGAAATAAATGTCCAAGGCCTATAGTCTCAGGTTGCAAATTGCTGATTTGAGAAAGATTTGCCTGTGTTACCAAGGCAACATTTAAGGAGATCAGACTGGTTAATTAAAGATCTTGCCCCAAAACATTGCCTTAAAAAAAAACTAAACAGACAATTACTTTAAGATTATATTTTTTTTGTTGTTCTTCCCTTATTTGCCCACCCCAAATTCTGTCTCAATAAATGCTTGTTTTGTGATTGCCATATACAAAGGAGGCAATACTTTAAGAGCAACCCATTATTTTGGCCCACAATGTCAGAGGCAGACATTGGTGGTACTGCAGTACAGATTGAGCCTTCCTGCCAATATTCCATTGCATGTTGCTGTGTGACAGATGGCAGCAGAGGGGCACTCTGACAAAATAGTGTCTGACATGAAAGTGCATACGGAACAAGAGTGCAGAACTGAATTTCTCCAAGAAGGGGAAATTGCACCCACTGACATTCATCGATTGCTGAACATTTATGGAGACCAAGCAGTGGATGTGAGCACAGCGAGGTGATGGTGGTGCAGCTGCAGCAGTGACACCGAGTCACCTCTGCTGGTGTAGGATCTTATGATTGCAGTATGCAGGCTCTTGCTCACTGCTGGCAAAAATGCACAGCTAGTAGTGGTGACTAAGTTGAGAAACAGAGAACTTGCTCTATCAAGTAGCTTTATTGTGCTCTTTGTTATCTGCTGTAGTTTCCATGGAAATAAACAAGTGGCATTAATTTCAGAGCAACCTATGTATATGCAAGTGAGTTCTGAGAGATGTTCTAAGAGACAGAGTATGGAGAAAGGCCTCTCTTTCTGCAATGATTGAAGTGGTCAGGACTAAATTATCCTAAGTCAGACAACAACAGAAGAAAGGTGTAGTTCACTTAAATGAGATTTTGCCTTTTTTTTTTTTTTTTTTTTTAGTATGTATAATGTTTCTGTTGTACTGCTCCTTCAGGATACATCTTCAGTGAGAGCTGAAAAGATCAGTAGTTAATGTGGCTTGCTAAAAGGACAGGCAACTTGGTGTGGCTTCTTGGTGTGGTTAAGCTTTCCTATGTGCTATGCATTTCCTTGTGATAAGAAAAATTCTGATTTCAATCCTCAACTAACTCATTACAGTGGAGTTAAATACCACTGTATGCTTTCAGTGTGAATTGGGCAGGGAGAGACAGCAGAGATAAGGTCAGAAGCCTGGAAACAAGTAGACAAGCAGATAAAACATGCTGTGGAATGCTGTAAAGGAAATAGTAGCTACATTAAATTAATTGAGATTTCTGCCATCGCTTCATCTTGTGTTTGGGTCCCAAACATTCTGATTGTTCTTCTAAAAGGACTGACCTTAACAGGGTGCTTCTTCTGCTTGCTTGATATGACAAAGTAATGTTCTGCAAATTATTAGTGATGTTTTCACGACACCTGGAATAATGTCCCAATACCTTTGCTCTGAAATACAACAGATATGGTGTCAACACGGACACTCCAGGTTAGCCATGCTTGGTTTTACATGCCCTGGCTTGAATGCATTTCCTATCATCTTTCAGATGCTATCAATCAGTGAATCAGCCTTCAGCTTATTAGCATCTGAAAGAAGATTTGAACTGGCAGGAAAGTATATACAATCAATCCATGGGTTACTGCTAGTGTTGGTGTATGCTAATTATATGCTAAGTGATCATACTAAAACAATGGGGAGCTTTCAAAAACCATGTCCTATATTTAGTAAAACTCAGATATAGTTACTCTGCCTTCAGCAACTGACACAGTGGCCACCGCTCTCTGTTATACTTGCAGATTAAAGTCCATTGGCAAACATGATCAGTTAGGATGTGCACTGTAAATAAGAGGCTAATCCTAAACTGGTCTGTGTTCTCACCGTGCAATGCGAGCAATGGCTGCGTGACTCCATTCCTCATCTCTCCTGGGCAGGTGTGCATTGTAACCAAAGGCCATAGCTTTTGCTTCAGAGTTGGAACTGGAACACTTGCATACTTCAGTACACTTAGATACACAAGTGGGATTCCACAGATAAATATAAGACACTGCAGCCAAACTGCAAGGGATACTAAATAACTAAATCTTTTCAGTGGCACTAATATCACTGGGGTGGGCTGTAGATCTTAAGGCATTTCCACCAGTACTGCTTGATTAGCCAAGCTCCGATTAAAAGAAAATATATAAAATAAGGCAGTCTGTAGGAATTTTACATCTATTTCTGAAACAATTTATCACACCTTTGATTATCCCCCTTTTTCAACAATGAAGATTTTATGATCATTTTATGATGCCCGAACAGCAGTTTCTGGAGTAATTTCTAAAAATAATCTTACATCAGCAGAGTGGAAACCACCAACTTTGCAAATTGGAAGTCACTAGTTATTGTGGAAACTGCTTCTGTCAGGGCTGCTGGTCACTTGCTGAATATGTATAGGTTTGCTGCTGCTGGGCCTAAGCTGAGCCCCGCTGGTTCAAAATCACCACTCTTCGCAGAGAAATACAAAATGTTCTTCACTTCATCTGTCATGTCTGAGCACAATGTTACCACTGCAGTACAAGTAGGGAGCTCTCCCCACTCTGCAGTCAGGGCTGCATTATGAATGAATGACACCACATTTGCATTCTTTTATTTATTTCAACACTATGATTTAGGAGCCTAAATGCAAGTTCTTCCCTTTTATTTCAGCAAGTAGCACTGCAATCATAACTTACAAAAATGTTTAAAATACAAAATGTACATGAAATTACAATACAAGGCTCTGTAAACATCTAGAACTTAATCTTTATTGTCCCATATTTTTAAATATAAAACTTCAATTTGAATGATTTCCGAACCTCAAGGAATGACAACCATTCTGAGTATCAAAAATAGAGTTTCAAAGCTCTGTTTGTATCAGGACAAAACAGTCATGTTCTTTTCATTCTTTGGTTTAAAAAGGATGGCAGTTCCACTGACAAGCTGAAAGTTTCATTACAGAAACAGAGACGGCTAGTTTATGGTAATTCCAAACATAAAACTCCCTGCCCCTTTGCTTAAAATATTATCCCATTATTTTTTTTTTTAATTTTTTTTTTTTTTACTGTTGATCTCTTTTGGCCCTTCTTATAGAAAAGCTACCTCATCTTTAAGGCTTTCCTTCAGGATAATCTAAATTAGAAGTTTTGGAAGAGGACTCAGGAAGGAGAAAAGACTTAAGGGCAAGAAAGTGGATGCCAACAAAACATCAATAGTTGCCAGGTTCTGCTGTTTAATTAAATTTGCATAGTCCAATAGAGATTGTGTGCTTTTTATATCACTAAAATTATACAAGATAAACACCTACGTTATCACACAAGCTAAAATAAAATTAAGACCCTTGTATTGAAGCTTTTACAAGGCAAATACAAAACTGCTTTAGTATCCAAAGCTATATATATATTTTTTTTCATTTCATTTTTAAATAGGAAAGCATCTATGTCTACAGGCATCAAGGTATTTAAAGGCATCAGAAAATTTAGTGCATAGCAACTCTGTATTGTATGGGCTCCTATATTTTAGGTACAGTATGAATTCCAGCTACTTACTTGGAGAACTTGCAAGGAGAATCTGTACCAGTAGGATAAAGGAGTATAAATCCCATACAGTATGAAAGCTTTTAAGTTAGAATTTTCCTACAAACAATGCTTAATGCAAAAGACCCAATAAATGATTGAAAACTGGAAACATGCCTTGCCACCAGCACACAGTCTGAAGACAATTGCATAGCTTACCGTGGGGGGTTTTTTGGTGTCTTTTTCATGTCAAAAACGTAAGTAGATGTATTTCTGAGCGTATCACCCTTATCTATGATCACAAATGAGTAGAGGACAGAGTAAAAGCACCATCACTAAGGGACAAGTGTAATATCACACCTTTCAGATTACAGCCCCGCCAATCTTTTACTTCAGTTCTTAAGATTTGCATCACTGAATAGTACATTCACTAGAAGGATGCTTAGATTCCCAGCATACGTGCCGTGCCCCTGCATTCTGTTGTTTGAAGTAACTATGAAACACCACCATAGTAGCTTTAGGCTGGACTCTAAAAGGAGGGCACTGACAAGAGTTGCAGCTTCACCTCCTCAGTGTATGGTCTTCTAAAAAGGTACATGATTCAGCTATTAGTAACATGTGATTGTAGCTACTTTAATGCTAGAACTTGCATGCTGACTTAAATGTAGATGTAATGCTTTGCCTGCAAAAGGCTGAATGAAGTCTTCTGTATACTTTTCTAGCAAAATGCAACACTGGGAATCTGAATTTACTCTTATGGGTATGGATGTTGCAGTTTGGTAATAGGGTTGACTTAAAGACTTACATTTTACTGTAATTTTTTGAGAGCCTATGAAAATCTAGAGAACAGAGATGCATCCTCCATGTGTGATTAGCTGATAAAATGTCCACTGAGCATCTGGGATTCAGTATATTTCTCATCTTATTTGGCTGTGATTGTTGTACCCTGTATTTTCCATATCAGAAAGCTTTGTAAACGACCATTTCTTGAGGGGGAGGGAACATTTGTGGCCTAAGAAGGCAGTTTCAGATCCTCTCCTAGGTTCCTAATCATAGAGGCCCGAGATTTTTAGTAATTATGTAAACAGTTGTTTCAGATGTATCAGATAATGTAGGTGAGGGAAACATATCCTTTAAGTGCAGCACCGTCTACTGCTGCCATGAGTCTGGTGCATTTCTTTGGTAGCTTATGCTTTACACATCTACGATTCAACGCGGGCAAGTTACACTACTTACTCACTAGCTCACAGTAAATTACTTTTTTGCAGACTGAGTTTATAAACAGTTTAAGGAGCTGTATTATCTCCTTAGGACTTCAAAGTGGCATGGTGAGGCATACAGCACATAAAAGATAAAGATGTGGTCAAAGGATTTATTGCATGGAAAACTCGAATGCCACTGAATTGGTGACTTGAAAAACGTATTCTGCAGGGTTACCAGGAACACTTGGATCCTCAGCAAATATTTAAATTTCCCCTGTTATCTAACATGGCTTTGATGTTGCTGTTCTTTAATCTAAAATCCTACTTCTCAAATTCGATTACAAATGTATCTTCCTAAGAAAAACCTATTTCAAGGAGCCTGTGCTAATAAAGTACAGGAAAATTATCCACAAAGTTATAAAAGTTAAATTTTGGAATGTCATTTCTATCCCAACACTTTCATGATGGAATGGTCTTTTTGCAGCCTATCAAGTAACATTTTCAGTTTATAAACAAGTGCAGATCTACATTTGGCTTTGCTTCCTATGATTCTAAGAAAGAAAACACTACAGTATTTGTATACACAATGGCTTCCATGGCATTGGCTTCAGATGACAGGTATGATCTGCCACTGGAAGATCATAATAAAAATAAAATTAAACAATATAAGCTTAAAGGCTTTCCAAAATGACCAAAAGGTGTTAACAAATCATCAGTTCAGTTACAAACTACGCTATCTCTAAGGGAAAGCAGCACACTGAAGATGTGTATTAAATCTTTTTCCACATTCAGTTCTGTGAATATTGCAAGAGCAAACTAACATCTCCACACATTTGAAGCACTTATAATATAAAAGTATTCTATTTCAATGCAAAAAGCAAAGCTTATTTGTATCTTTAAAACAGTTAAAAGTATCTGGCGCAGATTGCGTGTCCATTTTAAGAAGTCTCTTTACAGCATCCGATGAACTATAATTATAAATGCTCTGTCTCTACATCAAAAATGTAACCCACTAAAAGGGCTTTGCAAGGATCCACTGTTCCAGTTCATAAAGGCCACAGAGTTGGAAGCACAGGAAGTCTAAAGAGGAAGAGGACGAAGAGTATTCAGAGAGACTGTGAAGTTTTCATGTATGTTTAGCTGTAAGCTTATCTGTTACTGGATTCCATCAGATATTCTTGTCTCCAAAGATCCAGGGCACGTACATGGAGACTGGGTGGCCACTGTTGTTCCATGTGACACTGAGATCTGTGACATATCTCTTCCTATGATCTCATTTACTAAAAAAAGAAAAGAAAAAAGGCTGTTTTTATGCTTTTCAAAACGCAACCCATCTCTTTTAAAAAGGAGTACTGCAGTGCTAAGCCGTGACGCAGTAAGTTAACAGAATGAATTAGGGCACTAACTTCAGTAACAGTTAAACAGGAATGTAATCCATGTCAGAGCATCTCTATAACACTTGCAGAAAACAAGCAAATACATAGTCATGAAAACCACGTCAATAAAAGGCACAGTACAGGTCAGTTTAATACAGGTTTCTTAGAACTTTGTTCAGGAGAGTTACAGGTACAATTACCAACCCCAGGCTCTCTAAAGCTACTTACAGAACTTCCTCAGAACTTGGATGCTGTTAATGTGTTATTATTTTTTTTTAACTACATACTTATTTAATTGGCCAGTTTTTCTACAGTGAAGGATTAATACTGACTAATATGCATGTCAATTCGGTTTGGGTGTCACAGCAGGTGTAGAATCTCTCTCACTCTGTAAGACATAGAATACACCAAATTACAGTAATAGGAGGAATGCCTCTGCTATGAATTTGTTTGGATCTTCTATATGTAAGCATACATATAATATCATCCTTCTGTTGAATAATGACCATTCCTAGTGTAAGAGGACATGATTTTTGTACCTAGAAGTATTATGCTCCATCAGTTTCTGTCAGGGCACTTGTTGGCTTGCTCTAAGGGACCCCAACAGCTATTACCTACTGCATGCTGCTGAACCGGATGTGTTGCACAAATCAAGTACTGCAAATATTCAGCTAATAATGTTCAGTTAAAATGTTGATGAGTGGTACAACAACAAGCAACGTAGCTAAATCCTCATCTTTTGAAATTATTAGACTTCAAGTTACTTCAGGTTTTAGTGTATCTTATATGTAGTGTGTATGTGTATATATGGTAGGCAGCATCAGCACAAAGTGGTCTATACTGTTAGAACACCTTGTAGCTCCCACAGTGTTTACAAACTGAATAACATGTGGCCATTTGACATTCAACTTTCTGGAAATGACATTACATCATGAGAACAAGAACTGGTCATGTGGTGTGTTATTTGCCAAGTTTCTGCACAGTTCATTATGTATTAAAGTTATTGGTTAGTTTGTAGTTGTTATTATTTTTTAAACAATCAACTTCTATACTAACTTTTCTTTTTAAATCTACGTGTGATAGCTCTATCATGCTTTGTATCTTGGTATTAGAGAACTTTTTTGGCAGTTTTTAGCTTGATGTCAAGACAGGTTTGTCTGTAAGGAACAAAGGGATAAAGGGAAGCCTGCAACGTGTTTAGGGTGATTTCAATTATGTACATATGATGTAAAAATGCTTCAGAGACAGCTCAGAGTGCAGAAGGCAGCAGCAAAAGTCAAAGCATGCTGACCTCCTGCAGCACAGCAGCCCCGGCTGCCAGGTTTGAGGCAACCAGGTGAGGCTGTTCTGGGAGTCACACACTGATGGGCTGAGGCACATGGCTGCTGCCATGCTGGCTGTGCCCAGCATGCTTTTAAATAGCAGAAGGTTGAATGGGGATGGTGGGGAGTCCCTGTCCAGCATGCTGGCTATCCGACTGAAGAGTGGGCATTTAAATCAGGAAAGCAGGTTTCCTAGAGGAGGCTGGTTTTTAGAAGCCTTTTTTTTTTAACCAACAAAAAACAAAAACAACAACAAAACCCTATCACTGTGTGGAAGTCATATTGAGTTAGGTAGCTTGGAAGTCCTTTGGAATAGCTCTCTGAAGATATGTACAACTCAGGGCAGTAAATGATGAGATACTCAGCTACATCTACATGGCATTATCACAGAATGGACTGGGTTGGAAGGGACCTATAAAATAATCTAATTCCAACCTCCTTGCTGTAGGCAGGGACACCTCCCACTAGACCAGATTGATCAAAGACCCTTCCAGACTGGCCTTGAAAGCCTTTGTGGAGGAGGTGTTCACAACTTCTCTGGGCAACCTGGTCCAGTGTCTCACCACCCTCACTGTACAGAATGTCTTCCTGACATCTAGTCTAAATCTACGCTCTCCCAGTTTAAAGCCATTTCTATCATCCTTTATAGAAAGTTCTTCCCTAGCCTTCCTGTAGGCAATCAATTGTCTAACTGTGCAGTAATATAAGTTAAGACAGTTTAAAAGGTAAATCATGTAATTAATAAGAAGAGCTGAAGCCTGTGCAGAAACTTACAGAACTGAAGGTAAAAATCACATGGTTTGCCTTCTGTGTTAATTTTTGAGAAAATACTTAAGACTAAATTAGTAATCCAGAAGTTAGTATTCAAATGCATGACACATTGCCCTCCTCCACAGAGAATCAATATTACCACAGAACAATTATTTGTCTGTGTCTAAAACATTTAAATTCATGAGTGTAAATGCAGATTTTCTATAAAGCTGGCTAGTAAAACTGAAGTTCTTATGTGACAAAGTGGAATAGGAAGTCTATTTTGTCAGTCCAGAGAGAGGCCAGAGCTGATGATGGTTTATTTATTTACTTTAAACACGTACTTATTTAATAATAATAATAATAATAATAATAATAATTTTATTTTTTTAATTAATAATAATTAATAATAATAATTTAAACACTTATTTTTAATAATGTTTCCTTTCTTCCTTCAACAAAGTTTCCTGGGGAAGGCTGTGAAGCTCTCAGGATTCAGCAGTAGTGCTCTCAAGGATGTTTTTAAGTTCTGTTGTCTGTCTGCCATGTTCAAGTATGGTGTGTAGCTTACAGTTCTGTTGTCCTTTTGAGGAGGCCCAGTCTCATGAGAGTTAAGATGGGGAATAGGACTTTGCCTCTCAGTTTAACTACCCTTTCCCCCCCCCCTAGTAAAACTCTCCCTGTTTGTTTCATGCCTGGTGATCCGACTGCTAGTCCCAGACCTCTACTCACTAGAGATGAGGAATGAGAGATATTTTACATACAAATAATCTCAGAAATTCAGCTAATATTTAGTACTCTTGTGTTTGCTAACAATCTACATTGCTGTCTTGGAATATTGACTGGATCAGATTTAAAACAAACAAACAGAGCAGTGGCACACACTATAATTCACACTGAAAAGTGGCAGATTCTCCCACTACCGAAGTGATAACTGTGTTCTAATAACTCAATTGTCAAATATAGCATGGCTCAAAACGCACTGCATTTTGGTCCCTGCACTGGGACAGCTGATAAAAGCTATTGCTCCAGCTGTGAGCTGCATGAACAGCCAGGCCATTCACGAAGATGTGCTAAACTGCTGCAATTTGCAATCCAGAGTTTTTAAATAAACTAAAATTAGGTAGTATGGCTCAGCCATTTGTGCAATGACACAAAGCTAGGGGAAGTAATCCTTACAGCTGTTCCCATACAGATGTGTCCTGTGTGCTGTACTGATGAATTTCTTAGAAGAAATTCTCACCTTTGAAAATTATCTGCATTAAGCTGATTTGAGCAGAATGGAGCTCTTTTGTTACGAAACAAAAGAATATCATAAGAGAAAGTGCTTTTTAAGAACAGGTTGTGGTTTTGGGTGAATTTTTAGAACAATATTGAAGAAATTACAGTAACAAGCTCTTAAAAGAGATAAGCCAGTCCTTTTACATATTTGCAAGGTCTATCTTCCATTTCTTTTGTCAGTTCTACAACATCACTTTATGTTCCAGACCCATAATTTGTCAGTCATCTTGCACACCTCTACCATCTTACTAAAGATTTCTTATTGGTATTACAACACACTTAGATGTAAACCTTGAGACAGGTGTCTTCAGTGCTATGATCGGAAGTGTAATCATCCTCTTTTTAGATACAATGTAAACCAAAAATTGACATCTGCCTAAATTGTTTTAACTGCAGTTCCCAATTTCTGTGAGTGCTGAGAGACAAATGTTTCATACAGGAATGCAGTAAATCATTCCTAGACCCTAAAGGCCCTTCTGCTAATAATGCAAGCAACCTCCTTTCCCTTGCAGGCCTTTCCCTTGCAGGAAGCTGGTAATCTGGGATTGGTGTCCATACTTTCTGTAGGACAAGACAGTCTCTGTAACAAGCAGTTGCAAGCATTTCAGGTTTTCATAGGCCAAAAATACTTCTGTGCAGGACTATCAGGAAACCAATTCAGATTAAGAACTATTGATAGTAAGGGCAATAGTAAAGACCAAGGGAAAAGCAGGAAAAAACACTGATGTGTCCCCACAGTATTCACCAGGGTCCAAAATGTGTCTGTCCTAGGGAATTCCAGAGACAATATACTTTTTTGTGCTTAACAATTCTATTTGCATTTTTCTCTCAGTGGTCTTTTGGATCTGTGCAAAATTCTGATATGCACAACATTCTGAAACACCTCCCTTCTGAAGCTTAACTACATATAGCCATAAGAACTGTAATTATTAGCACTGAACTTGCTATGTGATTTTTCTACTTAGTGTGAACGCTTCTGTCATTTGTTTTCCCAAGATGATGTTTTGTGTTACCCTTTCCATGCCACCCATTCATTTTATCATTTTTCTATGCTTTTCCCTCATTCATTCTGCTGGCCAGAGAGCCAGGCCGATTCAATGCAACTTCTGCTCTGTATCTTCGAGTGGGCTAGCTCATCTTTGCTGAAACACTCCCAACAACTGTATGCATCTAATTCTTTTGTGACACCAGGGAGGACAGTCGGGGACAAGATGTAGGCACACAATTTATGTGTTAGCGTATTTTTCTCTGCTCATTTCATACTCATTCTTACCATTTATCATCCTTATAATAGAACTGTGAATCTTTTCATAGAAGTGTCCACTTTGAATTTAAGGCTGCTTTATATCAAAATAGTTCAGTGACAAGACCTCTGTCTGTATGGAATCAGGGCAGTTTTGCTTTTTCACCTCTTCCCACTCTCACTACCATAATTTCCAATCCTTTTAGTAATTCAGAGTTCAGTAGTGTAATTCTAAAGCTATTCTCTTCCAGATTTAAAGCTGGAAGCAGGATCCATAAGCATCCATCCCACATATGTGACACTAGGCATTCCTTAAGATACAGAACCATTCTTCTGACATTCATGTGTAAATATTAGTTTCCATTACAGCATTAGTATTTCAGTGATTTTTCCTTCTTAGACTGAGTACCTGAAATATCAATTATTCAACTTTAAAAATGCCATTTTTCCCAACCATATTTCTCAGATGCTACAGCATGTGTGCATAAAGCATGTTTCTCTCTGCATGTGGTTTTCTGTGTGTGTGTTTTTAAAAAGTGACCTTAATGTCAATTGCAGGCTTTGCCAATCTGTTTTAAAATTTACTGGACAAGACAGGTATGCATTGGTTCTTTGGTTTGCTTTTATTATTACGCTGACTCTGTCACTCATTCAACAGAACCTACTAGATTCTGAGTTGTGCTGGTTGCATTCTAGAGTAGCTCTACTTAATATTGTACTAATCAACAGGAGTTTCAAAATCCAGAAATGTCAGCTCGGTGTAGAGTCCATTTTCTAGCTTTGGCACTCTGAGTTGTAGCTACTTACCTTACTGATTACATTCTGACAAGTAAACAAGTAAAGCAGCACTAAGTTAGTTCTGAGAGTAAATTTAAGCCCACACACTAACTGTGTACAAGTTTTATTAAGACTATCTAGGTTCATTAAGTGTTAACAGGCCTAAAATGAATGTGCGCTTACAGGTATTACCCTTCAAAATACTTGGGGAGAAGTAAAATTTGTTTGTGTATATGTGTGTGTGTATATGCATATGTATATGTGCATTTACTTATTTAAAGGGTTAAGATAGTTCTACAGCCTTGTAGGCATGTTTGTAATAAGGTGGAAAACACTTAAAAATGACTGTAAACACGAATGTAACCAATAACCTTTGATAATAAGACTTATCAATTTCTACTATCACTACTAAGAGTCACAGAGCATAATTATCTTGTTTATATGTGAAATAAAGAAGCTGATAACATCTTAAAGCAAATTCAGATGATCATTCTCAATTATAGTGCACATTCAACTAGAATTCTTTCCATTCAATCTGTATTTCTGGTACTTAGATTGGTAGTTAAACTGACATTGCTTTGTGTCTATAAAAAAAGGAGAAATGTTCCAAGTTTCTCAGAGTTAACTGATCTGGCCACTCTACCACCTTGGCTTTATTAGGCTTAAAAGTTTCACATCCTCTGTTTCCTTACTAGACTCTACAGCACTCAGGAAGTTCTGTGGCAGCTAGATATACTTCAGGTGGAGGCTTTTCCTCCGTTAAGCGTACACCTGGTTCACAACTTCTGATGTTTCCAAATATTTCAGAATGCATGTGTCCAGTTATAGCAATACTGAAGTACTACGTTGTGCTTTTCACTTGTATATGTTAGGACTATTAAAACACCTTCCCCTCTCCTTTGTGCTCCAATTTTAAACATTGAAGCATTTTCATAAGCAGACTCACCCTCTAGATTTTCCACATAGGAGTTGGACATGAGTGCTGAATGTTGAGTCCATTTCTCTGTTGAACCTGATGGCTGGTATTCCAGGTCAGAGATAAAACTGTCTGTGTCAGAGAAGAAGACAGACATAACTACTGACTGGACTAAACCAAGAAGTTACAGTTCGCTCAACCAGGAAGTGACGTTCAGTTTTCTTTTAATAGTACTAACTTTAAATACCCAGTTTCATCCACAATTACTACATACGTTGACATAAATAACTACTTATAAAATTGTCAATTGTATTGTTTTTCAATTTGTAGCCAGAGCCATAAAGGTAACGTTGATATTTTTCAATGTCGACCTAATTTTATACTAGATAAATTTCATTTAGTATTTGCATTAGAGTATTCCTCTTGCAGTTTTCTCAACTTGGTTTACTTAGTGTGGTAAGGTTAATAGTGCTTACGCCTCTTGACAGCACCTCTGCTGAACACGGCAGGCAAAACAGTGCTAGTCAATAAAACCTTCATTTTTTATTTCTCTTATCCTTTAAACAATGGAATTTGTTGCTGTGAACAGCTGTTAGCTTCCCCTTACTTGTCAGACTGAGCGTTTTGCTCAAGGTATTGCTCTTCAGTCAGCTGGGTCACAAAGTGTAGAAGAAGTGCAGGAAAACAAAGTGTTATCTCTGTGTAGGTGGCTCTAGCAGACAGAGGCAATGTGAGAAACTAGGGAGGAAGCAGAGAACTGTACTTCACTGAAGTAGATCCTGGAGGAGAAGTTAATGTAGCATAATGTATTTATTAATGTAAGCAACAAGACTGTGTTTATTATGCTGTTCTGATTAGGGACTATGCAGAAATGGCACTAGGATACTTCTTTGTTCCGTCCAAGATGGTGGTGTACACTTCAGCAGACTGGACTTTAATACAGTCTGAAAAATTACTCTGAAAGCTGGCTAAATGGTGCCTTCTGGACAGAGCCACACATCTGCTCTGCCAGTATAATTTCTGAGCACTGCGTAGGAATGACTACTGGGAAGAACTTTATTCCCACTCCCTCCTGAAATTCAAGCAGTTCAGATTACATACTTTGGTGACTTCTTGTGCTCAATTGTTTAAAGCATAAAGTTACACATTTAAAGGGGAAGTGGAAAGCCTGATCTGTTTCAAAGAAATGTCCACTGCCATTTTGAAGGACAGGATATTAAGCAGAGTATTTTCCCACTGGTTCTGGTGGGATCTAATGAATCCAGGGAGATAAGCTAAGCAGTAAACTGCCTGTGGATGAAACAAATTAACTTTTACAGAGAATCTTCTCAAGCTCAGGCTTTAAAAGGAGCAGACAATAAACACGCAGAGCCTCCATGGGTAACAGTGGAATTAATTAGGCCTTTTAAGCAGTAGCATCTGCACTGTAAAGTTGTCATAGTTTATACAATAGAGATTATCTGTCACTCTAGCAGAGAAAGATGACTGAGCAAATTTTTCTTAATTATTTTAATGCATAGAAAGGTTTCAAGTCATTTAAGTGCTCTAACAAAATTGACAGTACTGAGTTCTGACTCTAAGAAATTCCTGACAAGCTGTGTTGCAGGTAGCACATGTAACAAGTCTTTTCCTGCCAGCACCACTTGGTGTGAAGCATGCTTTGCCTCAGGCACACAATACTTGGTACTTGTGAAATGTGATACATAAAGCAAGACCCTTTTAAAGTGCACAATATAACACTGTATGGATTTTTTTCAATGAAGTTGGACAGAACTCAAGGTACCAGACAAACATGCATTAAAAATATCTTTCTATCTCATCATTTTACAAACATTCCAGGAGGGTTTTCTGTATTTAAGTAATGTTAGAATGTATTTTGTATGCAAAGAATGTAACAGTGAACTTAAAACTTCTCAATTTAAATGAAAATGAGAAGACTGATGCATTGTAGGGGTATCCATTCGTGAGTAGAACCAGGCAGACCAAGAAGTTTATGGAGTTCTACCATTTGGTTTTCAGGATCTCCTATAGGATTCGAGCAGCTTAGTATTTTTGTAGCACTAATTAGAAGCTCATATGTTTTACTGCTATGAACTGAAAAGGAGGTGTGGGCAGCCAGACTTAAACCAGAAGATGTGCTGTTTCTAGCACATTCATTTCAAAAGCTATCAAATGCATGACTGTTTCCATTGCTGCTGCAGTAAGTAGCACAGACTGGGTTTCTTTACATTCTTTGCAAAGGAAGTTTGTCTATAGCAGACTGCATAAACTGCCTAGGCCTGGTAGCATTGCTGCATCTACCTAGGAGTTTGTATTTGAGAAGACAGGTCAGTGAATTGGTGTACTTACAGATGGAAAGGGTGTCAGTAAACCTCAAAGAACATTATGGACAGACCCCAGCACATGCTTCTTAAATATAAGCTGCCTTTTGTCAACTCTAGATAGTTAGATCAGCTGCATTTATGATCAGCTGTTACATCATACTAGTTAGTGCTGGGTATTAAACCTCATTTAGACTTCCCACAGCCACCAAGTAATATGGTGTCAGCTTTCCCTCCAAAAAAAAAAAAGAAAAAAAAAAGCAGCTGCAGGGCTATACTTAACCCTCAGTCCTCCCTGCTGTGCAGCAGCCAGCTGTGACTCTGTTGGTTTGTAATCAAAGACAGGCATATGGAAGCACACATTTGGAATGGCAAACTACCAAGGGCATGGTGAGCTGCCTTGCTCACCACGTTATTACTTCAAGTGACAGAATGACCTTACTTTAGAAATTTCAGGTTTAACACCAGCTTCACTGATTTTAATTTTTTTTTTTTTAACTTATTTAATCAGGATGTAAGAAGTGTTAAGAGTACAGTCTTCACAGGCACATAACATTTGCAGCTGTACAGACTGTGTGCACATACCTTTGGCCTGTAGAGTCGCAGAACAAGTTGTAAAGTTACTTTGTGCAGTAACAAGAATCTCTGTGCATGCCATGGTTATGTCACACTCTACATTTAAATGAATTGGTTTTACTATGATATACAAGTCACACAACTGCTGCTTCTTTCAAGCGAGAAAATGAGTTTAATACAATAAGCATTATGCGTGAGTCTTAGAGCTGGGCTGTGGAAAGCAGTGCATAAGTGTCTAAGTGTGTTTTCACCAGTGTTGCAATGACATGTCTAACTCCTTCCAGTTTTGCTACTCTTGGTAGTATCTGCACCATGGTGTACACATAGTATTTGCATTCCCAAAATAAGTTTCTAATGTCTTCTAATTCTTAAATGGAACCTTTTTGTGGTGGTACAATTAGGTGTTCTTACATTAGTTATGAGGCACTGTGCAGCTATCTGAGACTCACAGAGGGATTCAGACATTAGCTGGCTGTAACCTCCTAATGATTTATCCAGGCAACTTAATGCAGTAGCAATCTACTACTGATCATCTAAAAAGATACTGTTCTGGCATCAATTTTATGAATGCAGTGAATGACTCCACTAGGATATATGATCATAACATCCTTCAACTGCTGACAACCACAGATGGATAACATCCTTTCACTTCTCATCATTCCAACCTTTTCCCTTCAATCTAGTACTCAGTGTCTGGATCTTTCTTCCTTCCACTCTTAATTAAAACTAGCACATTTCCATACATGGCAAGTTTTTTCTCACCATCTTGTTCAACCTGAGGCTGTACTGAAGGAGTCCATAAGCATATGAGGAGAACGGAGGGCTGCTCCAAAAGTAATGCCTCCTATTATTGGCCCACAATGTCAGAGGTGGGTGTGTGAGTGGTGTGGCAGTCAAGGCTGAACCTTTCCAATACCGAGTTATATTTTGTTGCTGCGTGACACATGACAGCAGAGGGGCAGTCTGACAAAATGGTGTTTGACATGAAAGTGTAAAGGAAGCAAAGGTGTGACACTGAATTCCTACTCCATACAGGAAAAAATGGCACCCAATGACATTCACTGCTGCTCACTGAACACTTATGGACACCAGGCAGTGGATGTGAGCACAGTGAGGGTGGGTGGTGCGTTTCAGCAGTGGCAGCAGTGGTTCCCTTCCACTGGTGCACATTTTTATGAGCGTGGTATGCAGGCTCTTGCTCATCGCTGGCAGAAATGCATACTAATGGTTGTGACTGCTAAGAAACAGTGTTATGCAGCTGAGACCCTGCTCTATCAAATACTGTTATTTGTATCTGTTGTCGTTTCTGTTGTAGTTTCCATGAAAACTACAGGAGGTGTTATTTTCAGAGCAGCCTATGTAGAACTGTATTTTTTAATTGCAATTCCTGCACTGCTTAATGGTATCTAATATACAGAATACAAAGAGAGATGGTATTTAAATGCAACCTTGATGAATGGCTTACACTAGTCTGATTTTCTGAATGGCTTTTAGAATTGCAAGTATTCTGTAGGTTCTCATACAATGCAGGCTGCAGATCTTGCTGCACATATCCAGGTCAAGGCATGCAGCAAATGCAACAGGTTGTTCTGGCATTCGGTGTTCCTATTTCTGTAGACCTTGATTGCCTTGCTGTGCAGGAAGCTGCTTAACTACTAACTGTTAATTCATACGTTTTAATTAGATACAGAGAAATATCACTTAGTCATACCTCAGCAACTTCCTTGCTAGTTATTGCTATTAAAGTTCAACTACAGCTTGTACAGAAGTGAAGCTGAAGGTAAAGTAAAAAAGCTACCTGGAATGATCTGTTCTGCCTTCACTAGAAAATTTGTCGTCTGAGCTTCCAAGCAAGAGAGCTTACTGAGTAGAGAGATATCAAACAGAACTATTATAATGAATGAATGCAAGTGGCTTAGAATTTTATGTGGAGTGCATCTGACAAAGCCGAATTATTGCTTTATGTACACAAAGCTGTTGGAGGATTTCTGGTTATGATTTAGAAAATCTAGTACATGGATTTATTATAATCTCCTGCTTGAGGTAGCGGAGATGTAATGAGCAACAGAATGTTAGAGGATTAGCAGAAGGTCATCCTGAGTTGCTGAATACAGACTAACATAATACTTTAAAATGGTTAAATACAGTTGTTAGAAATACATGCTAGAAATCTCATCGTTGTATTTCATGGCTGTCTACAAGGTAAACTTGCTCCTAAACCATAAAATAAACCTAGGCTCTTGTAAGATCAAGAGTATTAGAATAGCTTTAAATCTAGAACTTGACAGTTGGATAGGCAAACTACCACACTGGAAGCTTTTCTTTATAGGAAAAAAAAAAGTGAAAATATTAACAGGGCCTTATCAGAGAACTAGATTGAAGGCAACTTTGACTAATTTTTTTCTAGTTGTAAAGAAATAGGACCTTTGTTAGATGATTACACAACAGAACACAGAATGGACTACATATACAGGAAAGGACTGAAATGACCAACAGTTGTAGCTTTCTTGTTTGCACTTGCAGCCTAAATATTCTGCTGTCTATACAGGGAAATGTCAGCCTGGGAAGACACGCAGAGGAAGGACTTAGTGAAAGCTGTTAAAGGAAGGAGGAAAGGAGGTGCAGAAGGAAATGGGATAGATGAAGTGTAGGAAGCTGCTCTTATGCAGTGCAATATCAGCTTGTGCAGATGGACTACTGGAAAGTCCTAAGCAGGAGAAAATAGCACTGGTTTTCATTATGTCCTTTAAGTAGAGCCTAAAATACAAATTACTTTGAATTTGTCTCATGTATCGAACATTTTCTTTACTTTTCTAATTTCATATCTAGATGTCTTTAAGCGAATTACAAGGTGTGGGAAGCAAGCATTGTGAGGAGTAGGCGTGAACCCAAATCTAAGGGCAAATTCAAGGCATCAGCTGGGAAGGCCTAAAATATCAGTCAGATCCTGTTGGAAAACACAAAGTCACACTAGCTTAAATAAACTTTTTTTTTTTCTTTTTCCTGTAAGTGTATCCAGGTAAAAGATCTGCTTTCCAATTCTGAAAGCTTTTTTCACTCAGTCTAAAGAGGGCCCCACTTGTATTACAGGCAAAGGAATAGAACTAAACTAAAACGGTGCTCTGTTCTGGTCATTGCCAAGTGTTTCTGATGTTGCAAAAGAACTGAAAAGAGTGAATCCAGATATTGCACTTCCAAGAGAAGCTGGATCAAGACTGAAGTAGTAGCTCTGTAGTTCCATATTAAGTTTTGGATTTGTGAGGGGGAGGAGAGATGGCCTGAAGAAGCAGCCAGGATGTTGGCAGAAGGGACACTGAAGCACACAGTCTTGCTTAAAGGAATTTACCTAATTACCTTCATAATTTATTTTTTTTTTTAATAAATTTAAATTATACTCTGGCAATCTAAACAGCTTAGTAATTAGAGGTAGCATTTTGTACACCACTCAAATTCTGTTGTACTACTTTATTTTCTTGACAAAGAAGCTATCTACTCTGATTTTAAAATAGTGCACCTTGCTGAAAGAAGATTATTTATGTTGTCAGATTTTTTGTTTGTTTGTTTTAAGCTACTGAGTGCAGTAATCCAGATACAATTTAAACAAAAATTTTCATTTTTGGCCTTGCCTCAGAATTATTTTGGGGGCAGTTTACTTGCCTTAATTGGTAACCTATTTAAAAGCCCATTTTCTAGCTAAATACAGCTTTCATGTTTGACACATTACTTGGGAGAACACACCCTATTAATATTTGTATGTCCACTTATGTTTGGATTTTTTTTTAGTTTTTATAATGTTAGAGTCATTCATCTGCAATTTGTGTCTAGCTCTATTTGTATGGAAACTAAAATTCAATAATAAACAAGAGCAAGTTTTTCTAATTATTTCATAAACCACAGTAGAACATTAGATACATTTTAAAAAGTTCCTGTCTAAACATCTTTTTATTTTTTAAACTACAAACTGGTTAATGAGAGGATGTATTTATTCATGTTGAGAACATTGAGCAGCTTGTTTCATGTCACAATGCTCTTTAAGACTTTTGGAACAGCAAGTTTCAGGCTCCACATCCAACCTGAACTGGCAGACTGAATAAGAATAAAACCCACCAGTTTTCCATTTCTCAGAATTCCACTTCTGAACAATTCAATCACTGAATGGCAGTAATATTGAACTGCAATGAACATCATTTTTGCACTTGTAAACGTACAGTTGATGCCAGGGGGTTGTTTAGCATTTAAAATTATCTTGTTTTCCATATAGGAAGCAAACAATGTAGCATTCTGGTTTTATTTCTCTAAGATATTAGCAAATGGGTACGCTTTAAGCATGGCTCTTTCAGCTTTTCCTGCTATTGAAATAATATAATGTTTGTCAGCATAGAAACAACTCAATAATTTCATTGTTAAGCAGAAAAAACAGTTTCTAGAAGAAATTCCAATTTGTGCTATGGGGGGGGGAAAAGTTTACTTTCTTTTCTCTACTGTGCATTCATTCTAACTTCCAGGCAGGAACTTCCAAACTGAGCTGCTCATAAATGCCAAATGCTTCTGCTTACAGTGTGAAGAGTTTAACTACAGTATTTAGGCGGTTTGTTTTTATTTTTCAATTTCTCTTATCTTTTTCGTGGGTATGAAAGAAAACAGGCTAAGAGACAGGTTCTAATGTGACACTTCTTGGAAACATTAGATTTCGCTCTCACTCCTCTAGCATGGAAGTAGAACCTTTAAATATTCTGATTCCTAAAGTCTTCCTCTTCTCTCAACATGTCCTGGAAAGAGTTGGTCTCTTTTTTTTTTCCTTTCTAATTTAAGGAAAGCTGACTGATGTGGATATTTAACAGATAGCCTACACTTGCAAGGGATAACTAAAAAGCTACAGCTAAACCCAGTGGAGAAAATAGATACTACTAGTAAGGTGCCCATCATTAATATCAAATACCTTCTACATACCTTTTAAGGCCAGGCCTTCTGCTCTTTCAGTCACTTCAGTCTGCTGCTTTCTTTAAATTCCTTCTCACATATGCCTAAAATACTCCCAACACTCAGCATCTGATAATTCTACTTTCTACTTGGTTTTCTAAATTAACACTGTCCAGGTATTTGAAGTTGAGGATTTTATGGTCTGGCCTTAGCATCAGAATGCCTCCCACGATGGTCCTTGTTTACAGGAAGCTGGTGAATTTCTCAAAAATGTAGCCAAAGTGGTAAGGAGAAAGCCAACAGCTACACTGAGCAGAGGTGCTGAATGTCTAGGAAGAGCCAAAATTTATGTGCTGTACTTTCAGCAAAACAGCCTGCCTCTCAAAACTGGGATAGCTCCATGAAATCATGATCTGATCTACAGTTATATAACTCAGATATTTTGATGACTTTCACTGAAATATGCTGGAAAGACAATTAGAAGAGGTTTCAAATTAATTCCCCGTAGACAAAGCGTAAATATGCAGGAATTAATTCTCTGGCCTTGTTTTATGACTAAAAACAAAGGCTACAAGCAAACTGTATGCTAAACTAGTTCAACTGTATGACTACTATTAGTTTTAAATAAGTCATTGCTTTGAATGCAAAGATACGACTCCATTTTTATAGTACAAATATATTTCTGTGAAGAGGAGTGTGATTGAAACAAAATAACCCTTTCCTTCAAACAGTTTTGGTTTAGTGTAATTTGTAATTATATCCCAGTATTAAAATATTAAACCCACTTACCATCATCCAGTGTGATGTCTTGTAGTCCTATCTGAAAATTCAATTCTCGATCTTCAGGTTCTGGTTTAATGTTAATAGCTGCCCCATCTGGTGAAAATGGAGATGAATCGCACACAGGATGGTGCACTAAAGACGAAGCTGCATTAAGACCTCCCAATGCAGGACTATGTGCTTGAGGGGAGTGCTGTCCCGACTGACTTACAGTGGCTGGTGGGGGAGACGAGGCAGGTCCTGAGCTAGGAGATTGGTAAGGCATAGGTTGTAGCTGGGGTGACGATGGTCCGGACAGCGGTGAGTGGACCAAAGGATGGGAAGCTGTTGGGGATGGGGAAGTGGAAGCTGGGTTTGTAGAATGGTATGGAACTTGCTGCAGCTGGGGAGAAGACTGCCCAAGGGAACGACTCATTGCAGAAGGGATAGAGGCCTGCCCGGCACTTGGGCAGTGGTAACCCATTGATGGCAGGTGTGAAGATGACTGTCCTGAATGTGCTGAGCGTGCTAGCGGGTGCCCTGCTGTACTTGATGTTGACACAGAACCTGGATTTGAAGAATGGAACGGCATTGGTAGAGCTTGGCAGCTAAGATTTATCAGATGAGGTACAGCTGTGTCTTGCTGAAATGAAATAGCATCAAATCCTTGGCTGGAGGCAGAGTTCATAGGAAGACCAGACTGTTCGTTGAACACATCACTGGACTGCATAGGCTGATAGGAAGGCCTCACAGGAGGTGCTGATGTTACCTGAAACGACTGAACCACAGCAGGGGGCAAAACATGACATTCTTCACTTGGACTAAGGTTTCTACCTTGCATATGCGACAGGTGGGATACAGCTGAGGTCACCATTGCTGTATATGGTGGTTGAACTGGACACACAAGGCTCCTGGGTGATGAAGACAGTAAATTGTCATGAGGATGGCCTTGCTCTGGTGAAGGCAACTGAGTTCGGATAGAATGTAGGCCCTGCACGTTGCTTGTGTGAGGCAGTGCCAAGGATGGAACAGTAGACAAATCCACCTCATCTCTGTGCTCTTGCTTCATTATAACTAGAAAAAGTAAAATGGTATATTACAATTCCAATTCATTTTCATCCTGTGATAAATACATACACACTGTCATTTAACAACCATGATAGTACTGTTAACATCCTTGTTCTAATTTCCCTTTTCCTTTTGCTATGCTTTGATTTTCTTTGACTTCAAGAATTACCACTACAGGCATAAAGGGAGAAGAATCCTCCTTGCATTTATTCAAAGGCAGTTTTCTCCTTTCTAAACTACCCTGTATGCAGCGCCTGGCTCTTATTGCAACCCAGCCAGAGAAAGTCCAGTAGTACATCCACATGATACAGCTCACCAAGGGTGTGTGTGCAGGGACTGCCACCAGGATCTGCTAAAAACAGTCAGACAAGTTCAGAATGACACACAAGGAAAAAGTGAATGCTTTTTTTTATTTTAAAAAACAGATACCACTTTTACTTGTCTCTATTTCTTTTGGTTTTTGTTTTGAAGCCACAGGTAGGTTCAGAAAAAGATACAGATTTTAAAAATAAACAGTAGAAAAATACTGATCTTTTTTAAGGCTTGGCTGCTATTCTACATTTTACATTAATGCTGAAGTGTTAAATATATTAGTAAATGGGTATTTAAATGTTTGTGCAATTACAGCTGCAGTTATAAATAAGAATAGTTTCTTATCTAAGCAGTAGGTTTCACTACTTCATTCCACTTTGAATACGCATCACAAGATGCATCTTAGGTGATGTTTTTGTAATTATCTTAGGAGCTGATATTCTTAAGAATAGCATCAGATATATTTGATAACACAAATGTATACCTATGCACCACGTACTTAAGCTGCTCAAATTATGCACAAAGTCTGTAATTTTAGAGTACAAGCAGCAAGCAGAGTTTATTTTAAACAGTGTACATTAATGAAAGCTTTCTTTGCCAGCATACAAGTTATCTTCAGGAAGATTGTTTCAATATTCGTATAAAAGACTACTTCAGGTATCTCACTTTAGGTCCTCCAAACAGCAGTAAAGGATCTAGATTCATCATTTGCCCCTGTGAACTGTGACCACTCTCGGTGGGCACAAATTTCTTAATAGCAAGGTAGGGGCAGGCAAAGCAGAAGGCACTGTATATCCAGTAGTTTTCTCATGCCAAACATAAAGGATTAAGACTTTTTTTTTTTTTTTTTTAAACTGAAACACATAGTTTTCACTTCTGTTCAAGTTCAAAAATATTTTCTCAGAATGGGCTGCAATACGTCTGGAAAAAAAATACTTTTCTGTCTTTTCCTTGTATCTGAAACTGTTTTTGTGGATATTTGAGAGGGAAAAAATGCATAGAACCAGATGCACAGAAACCTGATATTCTGTGACGTCACTGCCCTCTGTGTCATCACTGGTTAATGCAAAGAGCAAATTCTGAGATTTATAATCATTCTCCAAAAATGGCAAAATGCAAATTATTCTGTAAAACGTGTAACAAAAATACTTGCTGTAGTTGTAGCACTGTGGCTTATTACTCTAAATTTCGGACTGTTCAAAGCTAGTCTCGTCTGCCTGTCAACGGTACAAAGACTGTCTGAACTACTTTCAAATTTACCTTAAAAAAATATATATAAAATGCAGCTTTTCTCTTTTTTTTACATTTAGTACCTGGTGTGTAAGTAAAACGCTGAGATTGGCTCTTTTTCCTCTTGCCATTGCAGAGATAAAACTGCACCTGAACTGCAGCTGTAATAGTTTTGTTGTGGTATGGTGGAACTTCAAGTATGATGTTTGCCTGTAAGAAAGTTTTAAAGAAAAAGTTTTACATATTAAATGCAAATGAAACTGCCATTAACCACAGAAGAACCAAAACAGTTTAACACTAAAACTAAAGCAAACTGATGTTCCTCAACAGCTGAACTTCAAATTTATGCCTATATTACATATCAAAGCAGCAGTATTCTCAAACTGTTAACCAGAGACATTTTTTTCTTTCCTAAACCCAAGCGTTCTGAAAGTAGCACTTGTCATTAAAGAGACACATTTAAATGATGCTTCGTTTACCTGCCAGTGCATAAAATACACCAGGAGTCAAAAAGAATTGCACTTTGGATCACTTCAGCTTGAAAGAAAGATTCTAATGCGCTGGAAATTGCTTGTCATCTTACAAAACTTATTTTCAGTTTTCTTTTTATCCAATTTGAATTTCTTTTTGCAATGCTTTCTCAAGCATACTACTTCCAGTTCTTTCAGCACGTCATCTTAATGGCTATTTTAAAGAATCGGGGCAATTTAGAAGTCTCCAGTTGTCTGTCTGAATCAATGATCTGCTTTGCTAAGCGAAGTCCAAATTTCAGAACAATGAAGATGAGTAGTTCCTCACTTTAAAACATAATTTCTAAAGAAAGAAAAAGAAAGTTTCTCACCCCTTGACACTTTTCCCTAATTATTTTCCCTTCTACCTCCCACTGAGGTCGTCCATCTGTTGGGAGAAATTAACAAATAATTGAAGCAAAAAGCATCTTCTAAAATCCTTAAATACTTAATCTTAAATACTTGATGTGCATTTACTGTCACTCATAAAGCAGCAATTCAGTGAGATACATTTTAAACAGATTGCACTACATAGGGATTCTTTGGATTTTCAGTACTACAGGCACTGAAGCTGAATGTTGTGTAAGATTCTGCATTTAACAGAACCTGATTACAAACAGCTGGATCTGGCTCTAAAGGAGGCAGTGTGGTTGGAGGTTTTTTTTTTTTCCCAAATAATTTTAAAAAACGAAGTTAAATAACTAATACTACTTAGGATTATTCAAACAAACATGCTGAAGATTTACAGGCTCAGTCACCATATGAGAAACAATATATACCATAGCTGCCTGTACATATCCAAAGGCTATGAAATGAAGACAAATGTGCTGCAGAACCAAAAGGCCCTGTAGTTCAGCTATGGGGCAAGCTGTCTGTGCTGTGAGGGAAGTCACTGCACCTTGGTGAACATCCTCCTTGCTCTGACCTAGCACAGCCTGCCATCCTTAATCTACTGTCCAGCAGCAATGTTTCCTCAAAAGGGCTTAAAAGTACAACCTGAAAAAATGGATATCAACATATACAATACATTAAAAAAGTAACTTATGCTACATTTGCCAATTAAAACAAAATCAACACCACACTTTTACTTAAATAGTTAAGAAAAACAAGAATGTGGCAGAATTGGATTTAGCTGCAACCCCTTAATTTACTTTGTTTAGTGATAAACACAGGTGCATACATGCATACATTATATATACATATTACTCGAAGATGCTAAATTATCCAACATTTGAACAAGTTAAATTATCACTGCTGGAACTGGAATACCTGGTTTCAATTTTTCAGGAAAGAGTAGGAAAGATATTTTCATAGGGTTTTTGAATTCCCTAGCTGATGTAGTTGCATTATTAAACAAAATTTAATTAGTATGCAAATAGCAGTTATTTCTGGAAAATGACAAAACTATGGAAAAAAAGGGCTTAACTCCAGATAAAAAGCAAAATTTGTCATTCTGTTACAGACAGTTCTTACATCACAAATGTAACTTCTCAGTGAATTTTCTATCTGTATTTGAGACTTGCAGGAACTGAGCCTGTATGTGATGCAACCACCAAAACTAAATGATCCCTTAGACTGCAACTCTGAAGAGACTCTGGGTAAAAAATTCTATTTTAATATCAGGTTTTGTGATGATACGTATTTTATCATGTATTTTTAATATATTTATTGAGATACATTTTACAATTTTAACCTAAAATAACAGGAGAGCTAAGCTAGTGCCTTTGAAAAAGCTCTGATTGCAACCAAAGCCTCAAAGCAAAATAAATAATTAAGTTCCATGTAATGATAAAACATGAAGTAACACCAAAAATATCAGTGAAAACCAGTACATTTCCATTAGTTCCCATATTTGTTTTTCACCTTTTCTTGTTATATTAAGAAGAAAATAAATGATATGATCTATTAACTGCATCTTTATTCAAAGCCAGTTATGCTGCAGCTGTCTTCCCAAATCACAAGTGCTGTTCTCAGCAACCACTGCCAACCACCACAGTGCTCAAACTGAAGTTTCAAATTCCTACTTCAGACATCAGTTTTTTATTTTTAAAACATCCTTTCTTCCTAAAATTAAGCTCAGATAGTGTTTTTTTTGTTTTGTCGTTAAGGAATAAAAGTAGGGAAGCATTTACCTTGTCCTTTTTCAAAAAATATAATTTTTGATTCTGGAAGGAAATTAGATCCTGTTACCACCATTTCATGGCCTCCATTGACTGAGCAACTATTGATGCTGTACTTCTCAATCTGAGGAAGTTCTTGAGCAGATCGCTGAGCTTTAAAACAAAAAGAAAAAGAAAAAGATTACTTGCAGTTATAACCATAGCAGTAATTCTCCTACGGCCCTAAACTAAAGCATTCGAGTAGAAACTAAAAGTCACCTATAAATATATATAATGTATAATATAAATATATACAAATATATGAATATAAGTATATGAATTGTGCATCATTTAAGCTGTTTGCTCTATTTACCTAATTTCAACAATTCTTTCAACAAACAACAAACAGCCATGAAACCCAACAGATTCTACTGTTACAGCAAATGCAATTTTTAAGTTAGGAACACTAAGTTAAAAAGTACTTTAAAAGCTACTTTCTTATTCGATACGTTTCCTTACTGCCAGCATTTAAAGACACGAACTTCCTAGAAGTTCAGTTGCTCATCAGGTATTGCTGTAAAACAAGTAATGGTATATAGACTGTTGTAAATGAAAGTGTTATTTCTTCCTAAAATAAATACTTACTTTCACTGCTGCCTCCTTCTGCATACAGGAGCTTCTTAAGCTGCTAATTGTGTGACTGCAGCATTAGGTTTAAAGCCTAAAACACTGCTACTCCTCAGAACCTTCAGGTTACCCACTGCTAAGTACCATCCTCAAATAAACAGGTATCATTTTTTCTTAATTCAGCTCCTTACACACAATACTTTTCACAACAATCATTACAGATATTCTGACAATAAATATCATCAGAATGACATTATTGCAGACACGTGCAGGAAACATGAGTATGAATTACATATAGTTAAAGCAATCTTACAGCATTCAACAGGTATGGAAGCAGTCTGCAGAGATAAGACTTTTCCACTAGGCTGTGGGATGTGAACACGAAACACGAGTCGGACTCTGGTATTCTTTCTTCCAATATCTGTCTCTCCCTTACGGAGCTCAATATCCGAATTGCGAAGTTTCAAAATACCCGCACAATCGATACTGGAGGGAGGTGAGGAAGGACGGAATAGAAGAGAAATGGAAGAAAATGAATCAAACTTTTGCTTAAGTATACTCTGCAAGCCTTTCTGTTAAAGAATGAAGAAGATGCAAATTTCCCCCATGTTATGCTGTTTTAAATGTTTCCATTAACAGATGTTAGTGTCAAATGTCAGCAAATTTTATATATTCTGCCTTACAAACACCTAGCTGCTGCTTTTTTGAACCTCTATAGTGTTATTCAAAGTAAGCTATGTAACACAGTAAACATTTACAAGGATGATATTTAGTTCACTTCTCTTAGGAAGAGACAATGACAGAACTGCAGCTGTCACATCCCAGCTACCATTCCGTATGGTATTCACATAATATCCTGATTATTCACATAAGCCACACAATACTTCAATCAAATAACACAGAAGCTTCTGAAGACTGTTACTGTGGGTCCAGAGCATTCAATGGAAGTAGCATGAGATCTGTAACTTTAAGAAATCTAAGCTGGCCTCAGAAGTCTCTTTAGAAATAAACAAGCTACAATAACAAATAACTGCTTCACTCACTTCGCTCTCCAGGCAGAACACAGCAGTATAATTGTTGCTCAAACTAAGCAGTATTAAACTATTATTTGGCACATTCTATCTGTCAAGACCTGAAACATCAGAATAACTCAACTGTTAAAAAAAAAAAAAAGAGAGAAAATGGCCGTCAGGATATGAGAAGACAACCACGTTACTGAAAAACAAGCAGCTGAACTCTACCAGCCAGTTATAGTTCACATGCAATTCTACAAATGTGGGGTCATACGTACGTACAGAGTAGATGGGAAAGTATAAACCCCCACGTCGTTCATCTTCCCATCAACCACATGAGCTTCCTTGTTTCCCTGCTTCATTACTTCTAACATTACCTGAAGACTTATTTCGGAGTGCTGACACATTTCTCATGAATCATAAATATGCTGTTTTACTAGATGTTTCTTTAGTACCAATGGGAAAGAAAAAAAGACATATCATCTGAAGAGCTGCAAAGTACCTGGCTGACATATTATTTTCAGGAAGAAGTGGTATTTCCAAAACTTTTGTGCTGGCGATGATTATCTCCTGACTTGCTGTAGCAACAGTTTTTCCAGTGATTCGGTGCACCTGGTAAAATGCATGAGGCCTTAGGTAGCGATCATCTGCAGTCCCGATGAACATCTGCAGGTTTACAGGCTTTTCGCTGTAGCCCAGGAGCTGATGAAAAAAATAGATGTATTAAAACATTAGTTCATTTTTGTGCATTTGTGTGAAACAGCAGTACTCGGTTTGCATTCTTATTCAGTCTCCTGTGTTTGGGTGGGTTTTTTTTGTTGTTGTTTGTTTGTTTTTGTTGTTAAGAGTAGGAGTATGAGAAGAAGGAGAAAGGAAGCAGTTTGGGATTTCTGTTTCTACTGTTGTTCTGGGCTGAGTGACCTCTGGACCATTACTACAGCAAGGGAACTATTGAAAGGCAAAGAATTCTGGATTTCGCTGTCCCCAGATCTCCCTGTACCTTCGAAAGGTCAGCCCAGTCCAACTTCTACATACATAACTGAACTACACTGGCTTCAGCTCTGAAACCCAAATTCTGCCTCCTCCTCGATTCCAGCTACCGTCAGCAACTCACTTGTTTGCAGGCAAGCAGAAAAACAGGTGTAATATTGTTAAATCAAAAAGTCACATCTTCTTATGGCTTGATCAATCCTTACCTCTTGGGATCCTTGTTACAGTGAAGGAAAAGTACCTGTCACTAAAGGTACACAAAGCTTGAAGTCATGGCAACTTTTATTAAACGCAATATTCTGTCCTATAATTGACTAATTTCCATCAAATTTCTTAAAGGATTTCATTTATTTGCATTTATATACGTATTTCTACTGCTGATAGGCTTATATTCTTTCAAATATGTAAAATCTTTTTGTTCTTACTGGAGTTCTCAGTACGAAAAGCTAAATTCAGAAAATGAAACCTAAAACCTCAGTCACTAACAAAAGTCTAGGCTACCAGAGTTGATATCCATGTAAATCAATGCAATATTGAAGTATTTACTGATGTCAAAGTACAGACAAAGCTGCTGTGACCATCGGTGTTCTGACAGGCTTCTTGCCCTGCATTTGTTAAGTAACCCATAAACTACAGGAACACAACCAGCTCACAACATCCTACTCTTTCACCCCATTGAAAGTGGGACATAGGGACTCATATTAATTAAGGATAATTTCCTTATAATACTTGATGCAAGACTCCATCTTTACAAAATATTTTATTGTAATACCAAAACTCTCTTTGAACAAATCTCTATTCTTTTAGAACATTTAAGTATTCTTTATGCATTAATTTACTCTAAGTACATACATTAATTTAGCATTTACAGCAGCCACCTTTTCCAAAATTCTCAACACTGTTACTCTGCCATCCATTTTCCTCAGCTGAAATCCAGTTTTAACATGATGAAACACAGGCTGAATGTGAGCGCTGTGAAATGTATTCACTCTTAATACTAGGAACTATAAAAATTACAAGCCAGACCTATTCAAAAACTTGAATAACTTCCAACCAGGGTTATTGTGACAAAGCTGATTTCCAATTAAAGCTATCTTCACCTTCCTTAACAACGGATACATACAGAATAGTTTTAGAGATAACAGCAATGAGAGACAGACTCTTAACACTGTGCCAGTCTGCCAGCAGAGACCCTACAGAAATCTGCACAGAGCAGGAGCTAAATTCAGTGAAGCAAAGTATACCTGGTGCTGCAGGGGTGGGGCCTCCCAGGCAGCATGGCTGCGCTCTACATAAGCACTGCTCAGATCTGTTTCTAACACTACTTCCATTATTCCTGAGCAAAGATTCACCCTCTATGCTTGGCTCAGATATGCTATGGAAGACACAGGGGGTTGAGTTTCCAAATATTATTCTGCAAAGTGTGCTGGAAGAGGGGAAAGAGGCAGAAAAGACGGACAAAAAAAAATTCCCATCCCACCAACAGATCAGTTACATATCAGCAAGTTATCAAGTGCATTTTCTGAATGATGATCTTGTAATACAAGTTTGTATGCATGCACTGTACTCCTGGTTTATATGTACTAGATTAACCAACGGATGAATGTGAAACTGAATGCTCCAACAACATTACAGGGAAAAATATTGTAACGAAACAGAATGCACTCATATAATAATTTAGAGAAAACCTATGCATGTTACAAATCAGAAACATATAAATCAGGCTTCTCATGAGCAAAAGTGTTCTCTAATAACATTAACATAACCCCCTAAGAATTTCATACACACTGAAAAGCAATAAAAGCTTAAACCAATCTCAAAAGAAAAGCAAACAAGCTTCCCTCCACCACCACTGAGCTGTGTTAATCAGACACTTACACCACGGCCTTCTCATGCACTGCTATAAAGCACCTGTGGTGAAGGCCTGTTAAAGGTACTGGAATATAAATGGTTAGGCAGAGCAATAGCATGCTGGAAAACTAGAAGAGACTTCATAAAATTTTACTTTTCCATAAAGTGATTTATTGTGTTTATTTAATGTTTAAAATTAAAAGAGAATGTGAAAAGTAAACAAAGTTAAACTATAAATATAAATAATGTCTACAAGTAAGTGTGACAATTAAGCAAGCTGAGCAGTGGCAAAGAAAAAGAATAACCTTGTCTCCTACACTGCACAGTGTAATTCTGGGCCTGATCACAGAAACAGGAGCTATAAAGAACCAAGCAAGCAATGAACAGCTTAAGTGTTTTCATGTTTAAACATTGTGTTTTCAACAGGAAAAAGGATGGCAAACCTAATTGCCTATGGAAGCTGTATACATGGAGCTGGAACTTTTGGCAGCTGGGGAGAGCTGCTTTAGATTTTAGCACTTTCTCTTTTCTTGTCCAGGCGTGCATTACAAGGATTCCACAAGAGTACACCAGCAAATTTACACAGCGTTGTTCATCAAAGAGAAGATTCTGTTGGGGGACAGTGAGTCAAAGTGCTAGTAAAAAAATGAGATGAGAGCTTGTGGAAAAGATGCCTGCACCTCATTAGTAAGAAGATAGCTGGAGACTACCGGGGGCTAAAATGAACTGTTTTACGGTGATGGTAATCTCCAGAGCCTGCTACTCCTCTCAGTCTGCTCAATGGCACACTTCCCTTGAATAATGTCTTTCTGAGTAAGTTTCCCATTGTATCTATCTATTTAGCATTTCTTTGGTCCTTCAGAAAGGCCAAGGTAATATCAGAGTAGGATAGGTTAGTCAGAAACAGCAGTAGTTGTCTCTCAGTTACATTCCTGCAGCATCTATGATCGTGATTCACATTCACATTGTGTCAGGAACAGCTACACATCTATAATTCTGTTTGAGAGCTGTTTTGCATTTAAAGCACAAGTTCCCCTTTATTCACTAAATATGATATTAATCTCCCTTATTATTAGGCCTGCAGATCACTTCTAAAGACACACAGTCCATATGTACCTTGGATTATCTACTCTTTTTACACTGCTTTGGTCTATGATCAATACTAAGGACAGCCCGGTGGAATTAACTTCCACTGCTACTGCTTCTAAAACTAAATGATGGAGCTGAGGTCTAATGTAAGCCCAAATATAGTATTATACTGACAACAGTATTCTGTGAGCATATACATGAAGATTATTTCTTTCAGAGAATCATTCATGGCCCTCCTCCTGAGCCACATTCTGTGCCTAGCATAACATGAACATGCAATTAAAGACAGCCTATTTCATATCATTCCTGAGAACAAAGGACAACGCTGGATTACTTTGTTAATTCATCTTGAAGTACTCCTACCTTATTTCACTGTAGTTCTGTCCAGCAGTACGCAGAAGAGCATGAAAGTAACATCAGTACAAGAATAAGCCTGGTGACAGCAAGCCTGAGATGTTGTAATAGAACCTCTACACCTTTACACCCACCATCCTTGGTCCCCCTGGAGACTGAATTACCAAGGAATCCGAATTAACTAGCAACATGACAAGCTCTCCCCAAAAGAAAGATGGCATCTGGATCCTGAATCTGTTGTTGATGCAATAATAGAGGCTTACTATCCACAATCAACTTCAAATTAGGAAAAATGATATATTTGGAAATTTAAAACACATTAAACTACAACTTGGTTTTCATTCAAAAAAATGTTGACTCTTATAAATGTTGATTCAATGACAGTGGAGTTAGTTACACTTCCTTACTAGCTCATCTGTGTTTGGCACAATACTGTGTGATAAGCAGCCCAAACATTTAAGTTCAACAAAAAACATGCTATTTTTTCTTCAATGAAAATACCTACATAATTTAGGAAAACACATATCATGTTCTGTTCAAGTGTCTAGTGAAGCTTTGGTACCTGTTATTTGAGCTTACTGTAGTAGATCATCCATGATTTGTACAGCGAGAACATAATGTTTCTGTAGAGATTATAGGTATCAAAACTAAACTGTTTTACAGACTTCTGGTCAGTGCTGCAGAATTGCTATGATGAAGATGCAATACAATAAATTGCTACAATATCAGCCTACGTGAGCTTCAATCACGGGTCATTCACAGAAAGACTAACAAAAACAAACTTTTTGTTTGTTTTTCTCCCCATGCATATCAATGGAATAAATGTTGGAACGCACACAATCCTACAGCTGTGTGCTACAAAAAAAAAAATTACTTTTAAAAAAATATACCACTTTCCCAGGAGTAGCGAGCAGTGTGCTGCAGCCAACTAATAAGTTACTGCGTACTGTCACTACTGACCTCTAGAAACCCTCCTCTGTAACAAAATACTGATACACCACCCACTGCTTTGCAGAGGAAACTCAGCCAAGTTGCTTTTGTGTTTCTATATCGTTTCCATAGCAAAGGTCAGTGCATGCGTAAGTTAAACTAAAGCTGGAAGGCTAAAGACTGAAGGTCACAACAGGATAAGCCAGAAGAGCCTCACGCCAAAGCATTTCCAGCCTCATTAACTACACTGCACACAGTAACCTCATGCAGGTCAATAGTTTGCGATTTTTACCAAGTAAAAAGAGAATATGTTAATGAGACATTTTCAATCATCAAGATCAAAATAATTAGTTATTTCTTCCTTAATGGTCTCATGACAGCTGGATGCATTGCAGTGGTGTCTGTATTCCTCAGAGCAACCCCAAAGTTACACAGTAAGGTCAACAGAGGAGAAAAGGTCCAATTATACGAAGGCAAAAGGGAAAGGA